AGATGGACAACACTCTGTTTTCTATTGATAATGAAGTGCATATAAAACATTTAGCACACTGTATGCACCGTAAGAGCTCACTAGATCATGATTTTTAAGCTGGCTAACAGAAAGTTCTCCATTTTGTTCTAAAATATGGCTTCCCTTGGTTTTCCCTTACCGTAGCCAATTCAAATTGGTACCACACACCCAGATACTCTTGATCCTTTAAAGTAACCACCTCATTGATTTCCTCTGCAGTAAAATAGCAAAAGTAAATTAGAACCCAGTGTCAGGCAAAGCACAGAATAACTTTCTGTTACATTGCTGATGAAATATTAAGAGCACAGATTACAATCAGTCATTCAGAAATGAATGTTTTAGTTTTGCTTCCTGATCATTTTTGATAAATGCTTTGGCTTTGCCTTGGCATTTATCTTCCCAGGGCAGGCTGGTGTCTGGTCACAATGTACGGTTCTATTAATATTACCTCTGAATTATAAGATCCACCTTGAACAAGGCTCCAACACAAAGGTATTAGAATGTGCTGATGACAACCGGACACTCTTCTATGGCTCAAAAACAATGGCTGACACTTCTGTATGAAAGACAGAAGCACATCAAAGGCAGCCTTTTATAGAGAAAAATTGTGTGATGCCCACTTTAATCTCTCTGAAAATCTATGCACAAACTGAACCCAATTTTATTTTTCACATAAATGCTAAGGCTTGATACAAGGACATCTTTTCCTTTGCAGTTAAAAGAGGAGAAGACAAAGATATGCTAGCATAGCCTTTGAACTTTTTTAAGCTGTATCAATGGTCTGTGATACTTAACCACTGATACAAGGGCAAAGATTGTACAATAGCCGTATTTAAAGCATTCTGACTAAAACCAGTCATTATTATAGATTAAAGAAAGGCATTAATACCCCATTTTCCTTAAAGCTGCATAGTTTTTATACTTTTAACCCTTTGATCAATTAGCAAAGGTCTAAAAAGGTAAGGTTGCAATACCTCAAGGATTTATAAAATCATAGCGGCTTGGGGCTGTGATTTGAAGGGGACCTTGGATGAGGAAGGATGCAGAATAAAATGCCTTTTGGGACAGGGATGGGAAAATGGTCCTCCAGTGAACAGATGCCTGACAACTGAAAACTGCACAATTCTTCTGATATTCCACTACTTTTTGTGTGTGTGTGACTCTGAAATGGTACCTTTAGATGGCT